TTCTTAAAGCAAGAACCTTATAGAACCATACCTAAAAAGTTAAGAGATTATGGTGGTAAGCATGCTTCCAGAATTCATGGTGGCCCAAATTCAACCCCCAACATCTCAGCCTTCTTACGAGAATTGCACTAAGACAAGAATCAGATCGTCTTGATGCGGGAAATAATTATGCTATAGGTAATACGAAATTGGAGGAGTCTGACTCTGAACCAGAGACAAGCGACAGTTCAAAACCCCAATCACAGACTTCTTCGACATCTCAGACAATGGAAATGGATTCAATGTTAGCTGAAATTGATGCAATGTTAGCTAAAATTTAGAAATAAATGCCCGAAAACGGGTCTAGGGTGGTGACATGAACGTCGCTAGTTTGGAGGATTTTCACTGGGCCCTCATATACATGAAACTCAAGTTGTCCATCGTTTTCCTAATGCTATTCCCCTTTTTTCTCGCAAGCTCGAAAAAAGATATATAGTTAACTGTTTCAGAAACTAAAAATCTGTTAACTAACTATATCTGGCTTTGAGTAAGAATTGCGAGAAGGCAGGATCACAATTGAGAGATATATTTTTATATTAATATTTTTTTTCTTATAAATTGGCGGTGTCGAAGTGAAATAAAAATCACGCCTTCTCGTGATTAAATCACTCGAAGCCAGATATATCGGTAATCCAGATATATCGATAACCCAGATATATCTTTTTTCGAGCTTGCTCGAAAAAAGGGTGTATACTCCTCCTTTTCTTCACTAATCATTCACTAGATCGATCGGCCATTGGTTCATACTTATTAAAAAAAGCCTTAGTTAATAAAATCCACGCATTAAATATGCCTAATATTCAAGATATTTTTGAGAAATGGACAAAAAATAATTATGCCCAATACATGTTAACCGAATATGGTTTAAACTATATCAATAACCTAAAAACACCAGAAGCTTGGTTACGATTTGTGAAGTATCATCCACCCGAATATATATGAAGACGTTTATTAATACTAGAATATGATATTAATAGAAAGGTTCATTGGAGAAACTTTGTATTTTGTATTAAAAATAATTTAATCAGAAATGAATCCATAGCCAATAACTCTGAATTTAGAGAATTTAAAACCCAAGTAACA